TGAGCTATAAAGCAACCTGAGAAGGCTGCTACTTGTGCAGGGCTTGGAGATTCCCAGGCAAAGCCAAGCTGTGAAATTAATCTAGCTGCTGCTAGTGCCTGGCCTGGAGCTCACTGAGGCCAGCTGTTCCTTATTTGACAGAATTCAGGAGGCTGTGAAGCATGAGCCAAGACCAGTCATTCATATAGAAAAGCAGCTTGGGTGGGCCCATAGGTTGAGTGAGGGGGAGTCTCTGAGGATCTCCAAGGCAAGTCAAACAGTGTTAGCCAGCATGATGGAGTCTCAAATATGGCACCAGCCCGCCGGCTCCCTGGCTCTGCAGAGGGAGGGCTCAGAAAAGGGACAATGGCTTCTGCTCACCCTGATGCCAAACACTTCAGCCCCTTCCAGTGTGTCACTGGTGCCCATCAAACTACCACCCTGGTGCTAGAGCTCAGAGGGAGTGAGTAGGTGAGTCTGTGTGTGGGTTCTTTAAGAGGAGCTACTTGGGGCTCCAGAAGTTTCTTCCACCGACTCAATCCCTGCTGCTGAGGGGACTCAGCAGCCATAATTTGTGGGGACTTATCTTCCGGGCACTGGAACCCTGGGCTGGGGGCCTGGTGTAGGGCTGGGACTCCTTGCTCCCAAGATATCCCTCCCAAATTTTCATCCACCACACGTGGGTGAGAGACCAGCCCATTCCGTGTGCGTGCCCCTCCTACCAGTCTGGATGGGTGAGGTTTCTTTAATTCCCTAGTTGTCAGACTTCCACTCAACTCAGTTTCTGACAGTTCTGAGTAGTGGTTGTTCTATACTTTAGCTGTAATTTTGATGTGGTTGTGAGAAGAGGCAAGCTGTGTTTACCTGTGCTGCCATCTTGACCAGAAGCTCCCCTTTCAAGTAATTCTAATGCAGGGTGCCTTTAAACGGCCCTTCGTGAAACACTGGTCTAGGGATAAGGGTTTCTAGACCAATCTGGTGACTAGCAAAAATGTTGTTTCTGGAGAAAACAAGTAACTTTTTCCACTAGGGGTGTTATAACTTTCTGTTTTATATCTCCAGGACTATACTCAGCTACCATAATATAGATTTAGTATAGTATCAATAGTTCAAAAGCAAATGTAAGTCATAGTTTTTTTTTCCCATTTTATCTTTATATAAATTTAAGTCAAGTGTACAATCTTGTTACTATTTCTCGGCACGGGCCCACAGTTTAAATCAAGAACTGTGCTACTTGTTGTCATGACAGAAAACCGAGGTGGTGGTTTCCCAATCACACATCTTAGTTTATCTTTTTCCACACAATGCCCAGGCACCCTCATACCCTCCTGAACACCTGAGAATCAAAGAAGACACAGAAAGAATACAAAATGGTTGCATTCCTGCTTAGTCTCTGAATACAAAGCTTATCTTTTCATATTTACATAATTTTCCTTACCAAGCACATAAACCATTGTCAGTATAAATTATAGGAAATAGATTTTCCACGTGGGACTAACATTTCTTAACACCTGAAGAATTTCTAGCAACATTACCTGAAGGAAATATTAGAACTCATTTGATGAAGGTGGTGGACTTTCTTACAAAACATTCCTGCTGTTAAGAAGATCAGTGGAAAAAAAATGTGACAGGGCAAAACCTACTCAAAGATGACTTTTAGTTATTGAAAGGAGCACAGCAAGTGACATCTGTGAATATGGGTCAGGAATAAGAATCTCTCCAAAAATTCTCCATGAAAGCATGAAAAAACTGGCAAAATAGCCAGAAACAATATTTTCGGAACACTGGAAATTAAACAACACTTACAGCATTCATGACAGTGTTTATTCAAGAAAAACGGCTGATTCTCAGCATGAACAGTGAGCTTTGTGATGTTTTATTTGCCCTGTTCCCGTCCTGCCCCTCCTTGTTGGTGATAGCTTTGGAGACCAACAGCTTGCAATCATGGTGAAGATTAGCAATCTAGCAGCCACAGGAGGCGGCCAAACAGGACTGAAGCTCCTGCAAAATCTCATTCCCAGAGAATTATCATTATTTTACTCTGGGTTTCCTTGGCATACCCTACTTGCAAAGCTGTCTTTATTAGGCCTGATTCAAAGCTTGCGTAGTGTGAAAAGCCTTTTCCCAGGGGCATTTGTAGAAAGTGAGTATAGGCAATTGTTTAACTTCTTGGCTGCCTGGGCCACTGGATAACAGATAAGGCAAAAACAGGCTAATCAAAAAGTTCCTAGCAATGCTATTTATAATAGCCAAGTGCTGGAAATGGTCTAAGTGACCATCAGGAAATGAGTGTATAAAAAAACTATGGTACATTTACCCAATGGAATACTACACAGCAGAAAGAAAGAACTCTTACCATTTGCAACAGCATGGATGGAAATTGAGAGCATTATGCTAAGTAAAATAAGCCAGGTGGTGAAAGACTAATACCATATGATCTCACCTATAAGAGGAACCTAATGAACAAAACAAACAAATGAGTAAAATAGAACCAGAGGAATGGAAAAAGGAACAGACTGACAGGAACTGTAGGGGAGAGGAGAGAGGGATAAGGGAGGAAAGAAAGGGAAGGGTCTAGTTAAAGATCAAGTAATAATGACCCGTGGGCATGGACAACAGGGTGGGGGTTGACTATGGGAGCAGGGGTGGGTGGGGCAAGGGAGAGCAATGGGGGAAAATTGGGACAACTGTCATAGAATAACAATTTTAAAAAGTTCAATAGGAAAAGTTGGTAATGAGGTGTCCACAGTGGCTTTGAAAAGCTCCAAAATGTTCCTGAGAGTCTAGAAGGCCATGTACGTATGCCCAGGGCTGTGTGCACACTCAGGAAAGATCTGAGAAGGCTTTGTGCTCTCACCTCTGGCTGACTGTGAGGCTTTGCACAAACAGAAGTGAAGGCTAAGGCGAAACTGTTACCTGCCTTGTTGAATATTGAAGGTGTGACCCAATATACAGAGTCTGTTGGCAAAGACAGGAATATTTATTGGTTTCAGGTGTTTAAGGAAATCTCTCCTCAGTCATTAACTGAGAAGAGACTTCAGTGCTACAAATGACAATGGATACAGATTTTACACAATTAGTTCCAAAAAGTCACTGAACAAACAAATGATCAACAACAAAAACAACAAACAGTAACAAAAAACACTGGAGCTGAAGGAGAATCTGATTTCCAGAGCTCCCACATCATGTCATCTTAAATGTCCAATTTTCAACTGAAAATTAGGAGACATGCAAAGAAATGAGAAAGTATGGCTCCCACATAGAAAAAAAGCGGTCAATAGAAACTGTCTCCAAGGACGGTGAGATATTGGACTTCTTAGACCAAAAAGTTAAATCGACGATTATAAAAATGTTCAAAGAGTTAAAGGAAACCATATATAAGGAACTAAAGAAAAGTATAAGAAGAATGCTCATCAAATAAAGAATATAAATAGAGAAAAATTATATTTAAAAAGGGCCTAATAAAAATTTGGGGTTGAAAACCATGACAGTTGAATGAAAAATTCACTGGAAAGCCCTGGCTGGCGTAGCTCAGTGGATTGAGCACAGGCTGCAAACCAAAAATTCACCGGAGCGTCTCCACAGCAGCTCCGAGCAGTCAGGGGAAAGACTCGGACCTTCAGCACAGGTCAGCTGGGACTCTCCAGTTTGGGGGGCAAAAAGAATGAAAAAGTGTAAATAGAGCCTTAAAGGCCTGTAGGACACCCACAAGCATACCAAATACACATAATGAGAGTCTCAGAAGAATAAGAGAAAAATAAAGATGCTAAAAAATATTTAAAGCAATAGTCTCTAAAGAACTCCCCAAATTTGATGAACAGTGCTAATCTACATATTTAAGATGATCTACAATTTCCAAGAAATATAAACCCAAAGAGATCCACGCCTAGACATATCATAATCAAAGTGTCAAAGACAAACAAAGAATCTGGAAAGCAGTAAGAGAAAAGTAATTTGTCACGTGAAAGACTAAGATTAATAGTTGATTTCATATTAGAAACTAGGGAGGCCACGATACAGTGAGATGACATGTTCCAAGTGCTTAAAGAAAAAACTGTCACCAAAAATACTATCTCTCTCTATATTGATCCAATTGATTTTCATGAGGAGGCTTCATTTGGGCTGCTATAATGAAGTTCTATAGAATAGGTGGCTTATACACAACAGAGATTTACTTCTCACAGTTCTGGAAGCTGGCAGTCTGAGGTTAGGGTGCCAGTCTGGTCGAGTTCTGGTGAAGACGCTCTTCTGTGCTGCAGATGGCTGGCTTCTCATCGTGGGCCCACAGCAGAGAGCCAACAGAGGAAGCAAGCTCTCCCACCACATTTGTAAGTGCACTGATCCCACTCATGGGCGCTCCAGCCTCACGACTTCATCTACCCTGATTGCCTACAAAAGGTTTCATTTCCTAGTACCATGACATTTGGGGGCAGAGTTTCAACATATAAATTTGGGGGGGAACAAACATTGTAATGGCACTTGAGTCTGTAACAAGTGCCAAGGCCAGTCAGTGGAGGAAAGGCACAATAGAATATCCACATTCAAAAGCGCGAACTTAGACCCCAATTCATACCATATACAAAAATTAGCTCAAAATGAATCAAAGACCCAAATGTATGAGTTAAAGCTATTTTCTTAGAATTTTATGTTATATTAATTATATTTCAACTTAAAAATGTAGTACAGCCTCTGAAAGTAGTATTGGACATTTAAATTTCCACTAACATTTTTTGGACGGCTTTGGGATATTGGATTGAGAAAGTTGATCTTGGCAATTAGGTATGTGGGAGGATCACGCTGAAAGGGCCACACCCACACACAACCACAAACCCCCACACAATCTAAAGCAACCGCAGGTGCTTCCAGGTATAGTACAGGTGCTTACTGTACTATAAAACTGTGGCCACGGGTTTATTTTCCCGGCAAACCATTTTCTTTAACAATATCCCCAATCTGCACACCCACCACAATGCTGGAAACAGTATAACTCTCCAGACTAAAGTCAGCAGGGGTAACCTTACCTTTATTATTGTTTTGTTGTTCCATCAATAATTTACTTATTTCCGAAAACCAACAATCTCTGATTTCTTTCGAGGCTGCCTACAATTACAGACAAGAAGGTACTGTGAGTATCGGGTCACCCGGAGTACTGATTGCACAGGGCTTTTTATCCTCTGGGTGACTTGTAGAATAAGGAGATAGAAAACACTTGTCAAGTCATGGGAACACCCATAGGGAAGACATGAGCTTTACCTGCAGGATGTATTTCTCAAGTCCATTTCGGCTGGCAATTTCAAACTTTCTGTTGCTCCCCCTTTCAAGTTGGTGAATTGACAGTGTCGTCAACTGTTGTAAAGAAAGAAGAAAATTTTCTATACCATCATTTTCTGACTTCAAAAGTGTCACATCGGCTACCCTAATCCTTTCTACCCTGATATCTCCCTTCTTCTATCTTCCTTCTTCCTTCCAAGTGTTTTATTGTCCTCTCTTAATGGTCCCAAGGAGCATAAAACGCAGTCTGGTACAGTGTCACCTGTCTCCTCTGTTTCAGAGGATAACACAGACTATTCCTTTCTGTATGCAGAGCTGCAGCCTGCAACCTTTAAGCAAAAAGATTATCTCTCTTTTCATACCTAAGTATTTCACAAATCTCTACCTAATAGTAACTGAATTAGAACTGAATAGTAAATAAGAATAAATTAACAACTTTAATCAGAAGAACACAAGTGTGTGTGTGGGAGTGGGTGTATCTCACGAAACATTTCCTTATACAGGTGATGCTTGGTGTGGACCTAGGTTCCTGGACCCCAGGACAGGACACTGCCTACACCTGTATGCAGAAGAACAAGTGGAAGAGGAAATTCAGCCCATGCCCCAGAGACCAAGTCTTTCACTCCTCTGCCTGGAAAAAAGAGGGTACTTTTTAATTATTTTGTCCAGACAGGCTCCTATACCGCCCCTTTTTTCTACTTAGCCCCAAATCACCTCTGTTCCACCCTGGTCCTGACTGATGACAGATCACACGGCCTGACTCTGGAGTCAGACCTGGGTGTGGACTCTGGCTCTGTTGTGCGGCATTTGGCAAGTTAACCTCACCTCCCTAAGCTCCGGGCTCCTGTCTGTAAAATAAGGATAACTGTATTTCTGTCCATAGGGTGTGCCGACTCCCTGGTGCAAGAGGACCCCTTTACCTTCATAGACTTCTTAAAGCTGTAATGAGGAGAGCGGCCCTGGTCACTGGGCTCCATTCGTATCTTACAGAACACTATTCCCCTTTCAAATAGGTAGATTTGCCTCTGGCTGGGCTTAAAGCGAATAAAATCCTTCATCTTGTAGCCATCCCTGTGCACTGTCCAGACGCTGAAGGAGCCATGCATCAGCAGCTTGCCCATTTGTCTGATGTCGTCCTTTTAGAATCACAGACACACAGAACGGAGCTGTTAAATTACCTGACCAGGAAAGAACTCTTGGGGGTGTGTTTTCAAGTGACAAATCACGCTTCTTTGAAGTTTACAATCTTAAAAGTGCCACTCAGGCTAATCTGTCACTAAATCAAAACTGCAATTTTGCAAGCCTCGCTGCACGCAGTGACACCGGTCAGATGTAGGAGGAAACAGTTAGGCAGCATAAGGCGGTCAACACACAGCACATCAGGGATCTTGGAACTAAAGATATGGGCACTCTCATATTTTCGTTTTGTAAGTGATTTCTGCTGGCAGAATTCCATTTCCTCTTGTTTGCTTCTGATAGGTGACACCACTTGAAAGGGGCAAGAAATCAGCATTGGAAGGATGGTCAGGAGGGACAGAAGCTTCACTGCATCACGGATCTTTGATAACCCATGTGTCCCCCTGTCTCCTAACACCTGCTTCATGTGTGTGAGAACCCGAGATCGTGAGATCCGTTCTGAAAGGAGAAAGCTTAACATGACCTAACCTTCACGGCATTGTAATGGAAATGGTAATTACACCAACCCTGTGTTTTTCAGAGTGAGTGAACAGTATAAAGAGAATCTCAAATGACAATTTTTTTAAAGTCTAAGTATCACTAGGACGCACGCTGTGATGCCTCTCCCCACCAGCAAGCCCGCCTTCCTCACTGACACTTCCAAGTCCGAGCGAGGTGTCCCGCCTTCTCCGAGTCCTCTCTAAAGGGCAGCGACATGACGTGCGCCAGGGAAGTGGTGTCTTTCAACATTTGCAGCACTTAGAGCAGATCATCAAGGATTTATGTCCTTGAATCAGAACAGCAAAAGGAAAAGCTATTTGAATGGGACCAGGACAGAGAAATTTTCCTGAGTTCCATCTAGCTGAGATAAATCCCTACAATTTCTGACTGTTAATACTAGAAATATGTACATTTTGTATAACTGAGTAGGCATTGTTATGACTTATTGTTTATATTGAACAAACTGGGAATACCTTCTTTTTAAAAATTGTACTTCTAAAATGCTAAAATAAATATTCACGAGCAGTAAACTGCAGTCATTTCTATAGTATCTGGCATAGTTTCTATGCTAGTTTTTTCATTTTGCTTTGTAACATTCGCACGTGTTCACGCCTCGTGGAGGAACAAAGAGCCCAGCTGCGAGCCCTTCTTTCCCAGAAGCGCGAGGCCCTGTTCCGAGCTGCACAGTCCCCCAGACAGGTGGGCGGAGGGGTGCGTGAGGACTCCTGAGAAGGTTTCACTCTAATCCATGTGCTCCAAGGAGCCATGCCAATGCAACCTCTCCAGCCCTCAGGGACTGCTTTCTCCTTTAAACCCATTCAGTTTGTACTCTACAGACATAAATAGTACAGGAAATATGCTTTAGTTAATGCAACCAGCCAAAGTGCTTAACGCTTGCCACATGAACAACTGTAATCAATAGTTTCTACTGCAAAATGTGTTTATACTCCATTTCAAACATTTGATATAGCTTATAAAATATAGATGCTATGGGCAGACAGAAAATAGCAGGAAATTGGGGTAAAGAAAAAAAGATGAAAAGATAGAGAGACTGTACATAACGCACACACAACAAAGCCATGTAAACTTGTGGCAGACTTGGCTCTGACCTTCAGTAGGCAGAGCAGAGGGGCGCAGAGTGAGTTACATGAGTCACTATGTCCAAAGACATACCCAAATCTGTTGTTCAGGAAAAACATAGGCTCCTGTTACAAGATGTGAGAGAAATTTCTCCTATGTCACTAAGTCAAACACTGAGCACACCCTCAAACACATCCTAGGATAGATAGAATAGAATGGATTTTAGGTAGAGCTGTTTCTAAGAATGCATTTGGCGAATGTGGAGGCGTTACTTCACAGTCACAGCTGTGAAATCAATTCTAAAAGAGGCCAGAGCAATGGGGGCGGGGAGAACAAGTCCAGGTGTGCGCTCTCTCATGACTTGTGCAGGGCTGGGCGATGTTAGTCAGGATATCTGCCAATGCCATGGTCATAGAGGAAACAGCCCCTTTGAGGAGGCAACCATGGACAGCAATGTGTTTGCCCTGTGTCACCTCTGCACTTTCCTCCTCACACCACCTGCAGTCATAGGTGTTCACACTTCGGGAGGCAACTGACCAAAGATGTGATGCCAATAAGGTGCCAGCCCCTGACCACAGAGGGCTGGAGTGAAAAAAAAAATGGCAGACTGCCACCTGATCCTTGCCTCAACTGAGGAGGAGACAGTAAGCAGCAGAGGTTGCTGCTGTGAGATGCTTTAGTAGAGGGCGGGAGCTGGAATGAATGATAAAGAAGCAGACCAGTGAAGATGAGTCACCAGAAACTATGAGGAAGACGAAAAGATATGAAATGAACCAGTCAGTGGGTGGTGAGAGGAGGGTATAGCGGGTGTGTAGTCATATTTGCACGTACGGGCAGGGTACACAGGTGAGAACCCCAACTCCCTCCCAGGATAAGGCGGAGGATCCTGGAATGGTCCAGTTCCCACCCCTCTGACCTGGGCTCTGCCACTGTTCTGACTCTTCCCAAGGCTCTGTGGTCGGCTTTCCCAGTAAGTCCATCATTAGGGGTAGTCACTGAGGGGCAATTGCTGGGTCTGATTCCAACTGAAACAGATGAGATGTATATCCTCCAGGCCATCTTGCATAAACGCTCTCAGAACCATGCTCCTGAAAGGATTAAACAGCAGCCAGGATGCGCACATGTGGAGGCCAGCCACTGCAAGGGGAAGCAGGACCCAGGATGACCCAGGGCCATCTCTTCAACCATGTTATGTTCTTTCTTTCCACTCAGACTGCATTTGGTCCTGAAGCCAGAGGTCATGTGCACAACCTCTTGCAGTTATTTGCCATTTAGAAAGTGTCTGTTCATTTACTGGCATTTAGTGCATGCCTGGAGGGACGTGAAACTCAGAGCTCAGCACTATGAGGGAGTTAATTCAGTGATGTCTCTCTATAGGTTGAAGAAGCATCTCCCCCAAAATTCATATCCACTTGGGACCTCAGAATGTGAGCTTGTTAGAAATAGGATTTCAGACGTAATTAGTTGAAGTGAGGTCACACTGGATTGGGGTGGGCCCGAACCTAAAGGCCGGTGTCCTTGTGAGAAGAAATGGAGACACAGGAATAGAAGAAAGTTACGTGAAGATGGGGGCAGGAACTGGAGTGATGCAGCTGTCAGCCAAGGAATGCCACCCATTGTCAGACACTGTTAGACTCCAGGAGAGGAGCAAGGAGGAAGGACCTTCAGAGGAAGCATGGTTGTGCCAACACCTTGATTTTGAATTTCTAGCGTCCAGAACTGTGAGAAAATAAACTTCTGTGGTTTTAAGCCACCCGATTTATGGTGTGCTGCTATGGCAGCTCCAGGAAATGAATACACTCCCAACCAGTTTTTCTACCAGTGACACAATGGCATGGCCCTCACTTTGGTGTGTTGAAAAATTCGGTGGATGGGAGCTCAGAGACAGACCAGGGGCTACCCCAAACGAATGGACAAATGAAAAGTCCTCCTCCATGTGGGAAATGATGGCAGAAATAAACTAGTGAATTCTACCATTTTCTTTGTAGGTAAAAGCTTTCATACGAGAATTGTAAATGTGACTACATGAGCCAAAGGAAGAACCTGGCCCAGGGAAGGGATCTAAGGAAGTGGCCTCCAGAGAGAGAACTCTTTGGGGGCCCCAGGTTTTCACTCCTGGCAGTGACAGCTACTGGGACAGAGCTATATGCTTCCTTCACAAAGAATCAGGAAACATCTGGAGAAATGAATCAGCACACAGCCTGGCCCAGAAATGAAAAGCAGAAGCTGTGGGACACAGGAGCCCTGGGTGATTACAATCACCAGAAGCAAAGGTCTTCCTTCCTTCCAGCCTGATGGAGCTCCTAACACCAGACCCATGGCTCTGTATTCGGCACCTACCAGGTGCCAGGCAAGGTGTTAAGTGCCTTCAACACCATTTAATCCTCAATTACCCCACTTAGACAGAGGTGTCCTGGGGGTGGGAAGACACACAAAGCAATTCCGCTGAGTCATTAAGATTGTTTACTCAGCCTTATCTTTGCTGCTGAGACTATGGTAAGGGAACTGGAAAGTAAGCTAGAAATGAAATACCTGGTCCTAGCCCACAATAAACTTGCAATAAAAATACTTGAATAAATTACATAAAATTTTTTTCCAGAATATTAAAATGTTTCACCCAGCTGTTACTATTCAACTTTGGAACTTGTTGCAGCAAGTCAGGATTTTAAAGGACTCTAAATGCACTTCTATTTTATACCTGGGATTGAAGAGAGGGGAATTTTTGTTTTTAGCAAATAGAGGGAAGTAAACTGAGTATCAGTTCCCACCAAACAACTTTGCTTTAAAAAATAATATTTAAAAATATGTTTGTGAGTAAATTAAACCAAGACCTCACACATGGAGAAAATGTAAATATCAGAAGGGATTTTTTCCCCAGTAGTTTTAATTATGAATTCATCCACTCAGGTTCAATTTCTTTCCTTTACAAAACCAGGTTAATATTGGATGTCAAGTAGAGAAACTAAGAGGTTAAGTTGGGTCTATCCACACATACAGCTTATGATTGTAAACACCCTGTAAGAAAGTTCCACAAAACTGAGGCAAAGGATCTAGGATCATTAGATATGAGTTTGTGGTAGTCGAATTGTTAGTGAATTCTAAACAGAGTCAGACGAGAATGCATTGAGAGGATGGCGCCCCGGCTAGGGAGGGAAGGGGTCCCAGAAGCAGGTGACCACGTGATCTTGGGCGAGGTGAGTCTCCTTTCCATAGACCTGCTGCTGAGTGAGAAGGCTGAAATTTCCAATGCCTGCTCCTCTATAATTCAACAGAATTATACAGCGCTGCCAAGATAAATGAGCTAATGTACAGATGCAAAGAAAGTCAGTCTTAGCAAAAAAGAAACCATAGAGTGTACATCAAAGGTACAATTCTGAGGACATATGGGGGGAAAAAAGTTTTATTTTTGTACTTTGAGTAAAATCTCTGAAATCTATAAATTGGTTCATCTGATTTGCACACAAGCCGTTTGGAATAAAATTAGCATAGCCTGCTAGTTACTCACGTTTTAACCTTTCTTTTCTCCTAACTTCCTCTTCCTGTGTTACTCTCAGAATAATAGCTGGGAGTTTCCTGCCCTGTGTAACATTCATTTGACTCAGGCAAATGGATACCTAATAGGGTAGCTGACATTTACTCAAAGATGAAAAGAACAGAAAGATGTCCCAAAATGATTCAACAAGTTGCTTCCTTGATACTTAGCCGAAGAAGAAGAAATTATTACCAAGAAAGTGACCTCCTCTCACACCCGCTGTGGTTCATGAATACCCTCTGGAATCATGCATCAGCAGAAAACAGAGCGCGCTCTGGACTCCCAGCGTCACTGGCTGGGTCACCGCACACCCCCTGGGGCTGTTTCCAAGATGCTGGCCAGAGAACTACCAGGAGGGAGGGAAATAAAAAAGATCACAATTTTTGCCCCTAATTAATTTGTATGGTTTGATTTATGACAAGGAAAGAGAGGAAAGGTCATTTCATCTTCCCAGACATCAATAAAGAGAATGTTAAAGCCAGGTAAAAATGAAAAGCAAGACAAAGAGAAGGAAAGTAGCTGAAATGTAATACTCAGAATGCTTGGTCCCTATGTGGTGAGCAGAATAATAGCCTCCCGAAGAGGTCCAGGCCCTGGTCCCTAAAATCTGAGAGGATGTCAGGTCACATGCTGAATGGTTGCAGATGGAATCAGAGTTGCTGATGAGCCCACTTTGAGGTGGGGAGATTATCATGGACTGTCTGGGTGGGTCCATAGTGAGCACAGGAGTCCTTACAAAGCAGAAGGGAAGCAGAAGAAAAGGCCAGGGTGACATCATCGATGTGAGAACTGAACGTGCTGTTGCTGGCTCAGAAGTGGAGGCAGTGGCCATGAGCTAAGCAATGATGTTTATTTTGTTTGTTTTTTTAAGATGGAAAAAGATGAAGAACAGATTCTCTCCTGGAGCATCTGAAAAGGAAGGCAGACACCTTGATTTTAGCCCCTGGTGAGATGGTGTTTTACTTCTGCCCTGTGGAACTGTAAGGTAATCGGTTTGTGGTGTCCTAAGCCATCAAGCCTGGGGTGATGTGTTATGGCAATGATAGAAAACTAATACACCTGAGTTAAAATCTAGAGTGCTTTACCGTGAACACCAGTTGAATATTACTTATGGTCCAGTCCCAAGGCAGTCACACAGTTAGAGAGGAGCGTTTGTTTGCCTGCAATGCCCGGGACTGGCTGCTCAGCGTTAACACTGATGCTGGAGGTGAGACAGCTCTGCTCCCTGGCATCGTTTCTCCTGGTGCTTTCCCTGCACCGTTTGGATGAAGGGGTGTACACTACATGCTTGTTGGGCCTCCTCCAGAGGCTGTGATGTAAAATGGGGTGAGACTTTCACTTAGGACCCATATTCAAAGTAATCTTTATGGAGAAAATCAGAGTAAAGAAGGAAAATCATTTAATATTTTAATAGTGCCACGAGTCAAAAGAAATGACTCTTTTAGCAATTTCCCCTGCCCACATATATTCAGGCCCCCAGGTTTCTGGTTTTCCCAGAGCACAGGTCAGTCTCAGCATTCTGGACCACGCGGAATCCAACCCAAGACTCCCGAAAACCCCAAGGGGCTGCTTAGGGGCTCATAGCACAAGTTTGTTGACTGGTGTAGGAGACTTTCTGCTGAGTCAAGTATCTTACTTTCTTTCTTTCTTTCTTTCTTTCTTTTCTTTTCTTTCTTTCTTTCTTTCTTTCTTTCTTTCTTTCTTTCTTTCTTTCTTTCTTTCTTTCTTTCTTTCTCACACTGCCTGTCAGCTGCAGTGTTTCCTTCTTTTTAAAAATAATTTTTTTATTGTTGTTCAATAACAGTTGTCCCCATTTCCCCCCAAAACTCTCCCCTGCCCAGAGTCAATTCCGTTACCATAAATCACTTCTCCAGCTTCACCATAGCATCTCCCACCTTGTTATATTGTTCCTGCCTCTCCTGTGACACCTTCCAACAGTTGTTATGGAGCATAACGTACCGGGCATCCAGTGACTGCGGCCAGGTCCACGGCCAGTTCACAGGACTTGATCAAATCCTCCACCACGGCCAAAGCCTGGTGTAGTTCAGCTAAGGATGTAGAATCCTCGGTCCTCTTTGGCCCCTTCTGTGGAAACCAAATGCCTTGTTGGAAAACAAAAGGTAAACCATCTACTAAGTAAAGAAGGAAAACAGGACAGAGATAAGGAGGCATAGATCCGGCTGGTATGGAGTATCTGAGAAGGTGATACACCGACCTGTTCCCTGCTCCCAGAGAACAGTGGCTAAAGCCAGTGGCTGGGTGACCATCAACCGCACTTCCGTGGATTCTACTAATGAAGAATGAAGTTCACAACATCATGGGCATATATTTCTTCTCTGAAAGAAACATACTGAGCTTTTTTAAAGCATGAAAGAAAACCAGCCCCCTTGAAATTGGCTGTTCTCTCCTTCATACCCCCGCCCCTGGGGCCTATGGAAAAGTGCAACTGGAGTCTCATGTTTCTGTGCTTAATGTGACAGTCTTATTCCTATGGGTAAAATTACACTTTTTTAAGAAATAAAGTCCCCTCCCTTTTCTACCAATTTTGGAGAGAGAGAAAGACAGAAATAGAGAACTCCGCCCCCCCCCCCGCCCCAACATACACAGAGAAACGTTGATTTGTTGTTCCATTTATTCACCCATTCATTGGTTGCTTCTTGTATGAGCCCTGACCAGGGATCAAACCTATAACCTTGATGTACTGGGAGGATACTCTAATTGAGCTACTTGACCAGGCCACATCTTTTTTTTTTCTTTTTAAAAAAGATTTTATTTATTGATTTTAGAGAGAGGGGAAGGAAGGGAGAAAGAGAAGGAGACAAATGATATATGAGAGACTGTTGCCTCTCGAATGCGCCCTGACCTGGGGCCAGACCAGCAACCCAGGCATGTGCCCTGACTGGGAATTGAACCAGCAGCCCCTCACTTTGCAGGATGACACCCAGCCAAGTGAGCCACACCAGTCAGGGCTTGGCAAGGCCTTTTTAAAAAAATTTGTATAAGAGTTTATGTGAGCCAAAATGAGAACATATGTCTGGGAGCAAGAGCTCAAATGCTCTGGAGAATAACAGTTTTGTGTCTTCTTTTATACATTTGAGATTAAGGAGGAAGTTTAGGAAGATTACATGGAGGTGGGAGAAAGCAAAGTGGAGATTAGATGCATTACAGGATAGTTAAGAAGATTATGTGCTCTTAAGAGTGGTAGTTGTGGTTTATTTCCAAGGTGTGTTAACCTAGACGCACAGAAGGGTACAATTATTCTTAAAACCATCCCAGAGGAGAGTACTCTTAAACTTCTATAGACACAAAGCCTGGGTGGCCACATGGAGGTTGACTAATGATGCATTTGCCACATTGAATCCCCCACAGCACTGCCCTTCCTCCTCCTCTCCTCCCCCAACATGCTACTACCTTTAAGGAAGCCATCCAGGTCTGCACCTCCCAAACATGAAGACTCAGCATTAAGTACAAAAGCCATAACTACCAACTAAAGAAACCAATGTTTCCATTGTTACCACTGGGATGCTTTGGATATAATAGGGCTGACTGTTTCAGCTCAAAAGCTTTTGCTTAGGTTTTCAATATTTTATTCCCCTTCTACTTACATAGCATCTTTATGTTATCTAGTAAATGCAAACAAAACAAGTTTGTTTTCTTCCACTTTTTGAAACATATCAATTTCTACAAGAAAAAACTCTTTGCTGCCCTGTACAGCCCTACCTCTTTCTTTTATACTCTACTGTGTCAGTGGAGAGTTGTGTATTTCCTTAATCTCTGCAGAAGCACTGCGGATTTCTGGATCAGAGATATGAGTGATGGGGCCTGATGGATGAAGTGGAGAACACTGCCCCCACTGAACAGTTCGTCATGGGTTCTTGCCTTCTCCCTCATAATAAATATGCTGTAGTCCTGGTGAAAGTCATCAGACTCTTGCCTGACTTTACAGTAATACCATCACTAAAGGATCAAAAGTTCTTACACTAGGCATCTTCCTCTTTACCCCAACACATAAACTCAACTTCTCTTTGGAGATTCAACTCCTCTCATTCTCTCTCCTTCCTAGTTTTACATTCATTGGTAATGTAGGGTTCAGGGAAAGCCTTACAAACATTACTAAACCCCTCTAACTCAGGCTAGCTTCTGTTGCTTCAGATTGTAAAATTATTACCTGTGCCTTGAGCTTCTAATTTTAAGGTGGTCCCCAACATGCATTCTGAGCAGAGACGGCCTGCAAATGACTGCTGTTCTTGAGACACATGTCCTAGGTTTCCTTGTTAAAACCAGAATATTTAACAGGAAATTTAAAAGAAACCTCACTGCAAAGCCACAAATGTCTTCCTTACTTAGCTGGCCACCTTTTCCTCTAAGAGAACCTTAGAATTCACATACACACACATGCACACACTCACACACACTCTTGGAGGGAAACAAGACATAATATATACAAATCAGATAGACAAAGAAATAAATATAAATCATTCATAATCCTGTCATGCGGAAAAACCACAGTAGAGCTTTTATCATATTTACTTATACATTCCTATTTGTATTCTCGTTAAAACATTTTTATGTGAAAGGAAGAAAATATATTACTACTTGTTGTACTACAACTTCCCACTTTGAAATTGCCTTTAATTTTTTTTCTGACTGCGAATTATGAAATACATATCATTTTAAAATACTTAGACAATAGAGACATTAAGCACAGAAAACAAAATTGCCATGAGTTCTCCCACCCATGAACAAATGCCATTAACAGTTATATAAAACAATATTTAACATCCAGTACCTTAGTCAAACCTCCTCCTAGGTCACCTGGGTCTGCCTCCAAATCCTCAGGAGACTCCAAATCCAGCAGACCCTGCGGCAACCCAAAAGTCTTATTGAAAATCAGAGAGTTAAAATGCCAACTAAATCTACTGTGCAAACAATCTCCAGACAAACTCGAAACTCACTGAGAATTTATGCAGGTTTGCCTGCCTGCCACAAGTGAGAGGGAAAGAATGAAGGGTATATTTCACACAGTGCTCTTTCCCCAAGTGAAATAGTACTGGGGACATTCACTGTAGCCTGCTCTTTCTCACTCAGCAGCATATCATGAATATTTATTTTCTCATGACACTATATATTTTAAAAACATGGCTTTGATTGTGGCAGTGTTGCATCCTATATGTAAATCATAATTAATTAATCTCTTCTATTGTTAAATATTTAGGTTCCACAATTTTTCCTTAAGATAAATTCCTAGAAGTGGAGTTGTCAGTGTAAAGAGTTTTGATGCACATTCCCAAGTTCCTTAGAGGAGGACTCTGTTCCGGTCAGCCACTTTGGAAACCTTGTTTCTCTTGCTCCTAGCCTACAGGCAGAATTGCCATTTAAGCAAACAGTTTGGCCAATTGAATTGACAGAGCAATCCTACCTCACTGTGTTTTAGTTTGAATTTCTCAGATAACTAGTGCAACAGAACTTTCAAAGAATGTTTACTACTGACATTTATTCTTTTGTAAACTGTCTATGTCCTTTGTTAATTTTTTATTATTAATTTCCTTCTTAAAAATCAACTTTACTGAGATACTCCTGACATATAAAATTGTTAGGTATTTAAACCATACTTCATAGTGATTTGATACACATACACATTGGGAAAGGGTTCGCCTCCTCTAGTTCATTAACATACCCATCACCTCACATATTTATCTTTTTTTTGTTGTTTTGGTGAGAGTGTTTAAGTCTACTCTCTTAGCAAACTTCTATTGTACATTACAGTGTTACCAGCTTCAATAATGGGATGTGGCCACCATGCTTTACATTACGTCCTCAGACCTTTGTCATCTTACAGCGGAAAGCTTGTCACATTTACCAACCTCTCCCCATTGATTATTTCTTTAAGTAGAGCCTATTTAATTTTTTTAGAAGAAGAAAAATGAGTGTTTCTCTTATGATATGAGTTGGTTTCAAATCATACTGTATCACAAGAAATCAGCATGACCATCTTATTCTAGAGCATCCTTGTAATAAGCAAAACTTACAGTAAACAAATATGTACACTTTTACAAACCACATCTTAATTAAACAAAATCCAGGCAAGAAAAATTCTCTACATTAAATTTGAGAGTTTCCATCCATCACTTAGCTTGTTTGATAGAAGTCATTAGCTCAATGAACGCGAGTTCCTCTTGTCCCTAAATGTCAATTTGTCATGGGTTCTTTCCAGTGTATTCAGATACTAATATATTAACATCATTTAATTACCTTGCCTTGACTCTTTAGATATTATGTACTCACAAAACTCTTGGTCATGACTATTAGTTTTTATAATATCTCAGACAAGATAGGAGGCATATCATAGACTTTTTTATTACTAATTTCTATGAGCTCATTATTAAGCATGAGGACCACTGAGCATGTATATGCTAATATGTCTTTCCCCATTTTTCACATGTCTGTTTTTATTAATACAATCTGTCATCCCTTCCCCTTTCCTTTATATATCAAAAAGCTCTCCCACACCAGGATTCCAGGATCCTTTTTCAGCCACGAGGCGATGGTCCAACACCCATGCTCTCTCTAAGAAGCTGCAGAATGAGTCCATTCCTCACAGTGGAGAACCGCACTAAGTTCTTCCCTTCACCACATGCCAGTGGTTTAAACTTGCATTTCTGGGCACCCAGCAAGCTTCTCTGTGGGAAAAACTGGTCTGCCCTGAGTAGCCTCCAGTGGTTTTGCAAAGACCTCCAAGGAGTATTTTACAGGGATTCTGTCTCTTGTTTTTTCAATAAAACTAACAGAATATTCTAACATGTATTACCTCATTTAATGTTAAGAGTTTTATGCATATATCTAGAAAGAGCATACCAGAAAAGTATTGTTAACCTGCTTCATTTTACAGCTGAGGGGCCTGACCCTTAGGGTCAGGGACCCTAGGGAGTGGTTACTGACCTGCCTTTGTGCACAGAGCTGTCAGAGCCCAGATCCACAACCAGGAGGTCTAGTTTCTGCCTCTGTGTTTCTAATCACCATGCCCCACAGTCCTCTGCAAATGGAACTTAACTATTGTGTCAACATCATGTCAAAGAGAAAACCTTTTGACTGGAGGCCAGTCCCTGATGCAGCCAGGCTGTAGGGGGTGAAGACCCCAACTTAGGTCCTGCTGCCTGCTCACTGGTAGGACTTCATAACAGTAAGAATGGGACCATCAGGGGCATACGAGGCCCTAGGTGAATGTCATATCAAAGCATGCTCACAGGTATCACTCATGTGGGGAAGCAGTGAGCCATCCTCCTTAGTCTCACACTGGAGTGACGTCTGCAGGTACAAAACAGCAGCCACATGGCCCAGGAGCTTCTTGCGCATTGGCACCGAGCAGCTCTCTCCACGCATTTACTCACTGCTTCCCCCAGTGAGCAGGAGGTTCAGGTATCTTCATTTTACACGTGAGAAAACCTGCACCTAGCAGGCCCAGTAATCCCACGGCTGGTAGCTGCAGAGGCGGTCCAGCCCAGCAGGCTCTGCTGAGGCAAAGCTTCAGCACATTTTTCTGAGGGCAGATGGTTGGGCCATTAGCCTAACCTCCACGAGCCTCAGTTTCTTCGTACTCCAGAGCCTTCCGACACATCTGGTTGTGAGGATTAAGTAAAAAATACACATGGGAAGGAACCCAGTAAATGGCGGTAGCTATTTTTTCTTTTCTTTTTTTTTTTGAGATAGTAGCCACAAAACACAACCTGGAGAAACGGCCCCAGCCTTCCCCTCGGTTTCCCGGGGAGGCAGCCCTGACAGTGCCTCCCGCCCGTTCAGGGTGTCTGGGAGCACTCTCCTGCAGGTGTGCCGGTGTCAGAGAGAGAAGGACCGTCTAGGAGTTCTTCAGAGCACAGTGCATTCTGTTCTAACGCTCTTGAGAAAGATGCTAAATCTAAGGGTGGAGGCAGATGTTGCAAAAAGAGAGAAAACTTCAGTTTTGCCTTCTCCCTTCCATTGTCTTAATGCACATAAAAGAGTGACTTAGGGGAAAATCATACCTCTTTCTTGAAGCTCCTTGCCTCATCCGTAAAATGGAGCAGATGATGTCTTACCTGGAGATATCTTACAGGAGAGTAGAGAGAGGCCTGGCCGCCTCCCCATCCCCCCAGTTGCCAGCAGTGTGGCTGCAGCCCCTCTCGTCACTTGGCTCCTAAGCACTCTCCTCCCTTAAGCCAGGCTCCTAAGAGAGTCATGCCTTGCTGCCTGTTGGACTAGCCAGGCTCCCAGGTCTCTTGCAACTCCATGATTCTTTCATCTCATGCCCCCGTGAGGAGGGCTGCTTTAAACTTGGAGGACCGTAAAAGCTCAGAGGATAGGTATCTTCACCTTTGGAAGACAGTCACAACTCTAAGGGAAAGAGCACCACAGTGCATCCATCTGTTTGCCCAACACGGAAAAGCACTGTCTTACTGACCTTACCTTCAACAGCATCTGGTATTTTACGAGTCTCTGGCTCGGTCCTCCAAGATACTTAAAAAGAGGGAGGTTGTGATCCAACTGGCGCTGGCATACCTTTTAAAAACAAGCAGAAACAACATAAAACAAAACGAACAACACACACAGAAAACAAAAGTGGTGGCATTTAAACACAAGAAATGAAACAGGCCGTTCACAGACGAGAGGGGCAGCCGGGTTGACCAGGTTTGCACTGTTGCTGAGCTGCTCGGTCCTTGGGGAACTGCATGTGAAGTGAAAGAAAGGGGAAAGGGGACTGCTTGGCTGTATTCTTATGAGAAGCTAGGAAAGCAGGGCCGTCTATTTCTTTTAGCAACTAAGTCTACCAGAGCACACTGGGACATTTCAGGTGCTTCAGAAAATGAGGCAGCCTGTGTTTGAGTTTGGGTGTGGTGGGGCCTGGAGGGCACATCATGGCTCACTGATATCATTCCCAGGAGCACTGATGTCTATCTAACCTTTTGGGCTGAATTCCATTTTTAAAACCTATCTCAGAAGAGGACTCTGGTTTTCTCACCAGGCTACAGCGGTCCCTCACAGGCCTGTCCCACAGAGACCCAGGACAGCACGGAAACTTCCCACGCGCAATTCCAAAACAGGGGAGACTTTCAATAAACATAAATCCCCATGCCAAATGCCTCTGCTGAGCTCACACTCTTAAGGTCTTTAAAAACTTGACGCACAGAAACATTGTCCAGGGAAAACAATTTGTGGGAGACGCAATCTCAACATTACCCCAAAGTAGGCACAGTCTTGACATTCTTGCCAGATTGCCCTAGCTCGGGGCAAATTCTTATGGTATTTAAAATAGATCTGAAGATCTTCTTTCTGAATGGGAAAAAATTAGAACAAATTAATCAGGTAGTATTTTTCAGTAAGTGGATAAAACAGTAGTTTATTCATTCAACACGCCTGAGGTCTTTTTAAATTTTATTTTATTTTTTCTTTCTTTCTTTATTTTTTAATATATTTTATTGATTATGCTATTAAAGTTGTCCCATTTCCCCCCTTCACTCCCCTCCACCCTGTACACCCCCTCCCACCCACATCCCCGCCTTTAATCATGTCCATGTGTCATACATATAAGTGCTTTAGCTTCTACATTTCTCATACTATTCTTACCCTCCCCCTATCTATTTTCAACCTACAATCTATGCTACTTATTCTCTGTACCTTTGCCCCCTCTCTCCTCCTCCCACTCCCCTGTTGCTAACCCTCCATGTCATCTCCATTTCTGTGGTTCTGTTCCTGTTCTAGTTGTTTGCTTAGTTTCTTTTGGTTTTGCTTTAGGTGTGGTTGTTAATAATTGTGAGTTTGCTCTCCTTTTACTATACATGTTTTTTTTATCTTCTTTTCTTAGATAAGTCCTTTTGACATTTCATAAAATAAGGGCTTGGTGATGATGAACTCCTTTAACTTGACCTTATCTGAGAAACACTTTATCTGCCCTTCCATTACAAATGAAAGCTTTGCTGGATAGAGTAGTCTGGGATATAGGTCCTTGTCTTTCATGACTTGGAATACTTCTTTCCAGCCCCTTCTTGCCTGTAAGGTCTCTTTGGAGAAATCAGCTGACAGTCTGATGAGAACTCCTTTGTAGGTGACTGTCCCCTTATCTCTTGCTGCTTCTAGGATTCTTTCCTTCATTTTTACCTTGGCTAATGTAATTATGATGTGCCTTGGTGTGTTTCTTCTTGGGTCCAACTTCTTTATGACTCTCTGAGCTTCCTGGATTTCCTGGAAGTCTATTTTCTTTGCCAGAATGGGGAAGTTCTCCTTTATTATTTGTTCAAATACGTGTTCAATCTGTTGCTTTTCCTCTTCCCCTTCTGGTACCCCTATAATTTGGATGTTGGAATGTTTAAAGATATCCTGGTGGTTCCTAAGCTTCTCCTTGTTTTTTTGAATTCTTATTTCTCCATTCTTTCCTGTTTGGTTGTTTTTTTCTTCCTTCTGGTCCACTCTATTGTTTTGAGTCCCACTTTCCTTCCCATCACTACTGGTTCTCTGTGCATTTTCCTTCATTTCTTTTATCGTAACCTGCATTTGTTCATCTAATTTATGACCAAAATCAACCAATTCTGTGAGCTTCCTGATCACCAGTGTTTTGAACTATGCATCTGATAGATTGGCTATCTCTCGGTCACTTAAAAGGATGAGTTCTGGGGCCTTGATCTGTTCTTCTATTTGAAATGTGTGTGTGTGTCTCTCTCTCTCTTTTGGGGGGGGTCTGGTTACTTCTGTTACAGTGAGGGGTGATGCCTTAGGTGTTCACCAGGGCTGGGCACCCCAGTCGCTAGATTGTGATGTTGTATGTGGGGGCAGAGGCGGGAGGGAACAATGGCAGTAGCTCCGTTTTCCTGGGACCTCAGTCCCTTCTCTGGGATCCTAGGTTGTGCGCTCTGCCCGGCTTCACAATTGCCACCTCACTGGGTCTGCCAGCTGCCGCTTGCATACTCAGGGTCCACCCGCTGTGATCCTGCGTGCCCCAGATGCCTTATGCGCCCACCTCTCTCTGCTCTCCTCCCCGCGACCCACGCCTTGACCCTCGACCCATGCCTGGCTGCTCCTCTCCGCTCCTCCTACCGGTCTGGATGAATGGGTCTATTTCAACTTCTTGGCTGTCTGACTTCCACTCAAATAAATTCTCTATCAGTTCTGGGTGTTATTCTGCCTCTAAATTGTTGTTGTTCTAATCTTGGTTGCGTGTGGAGGTACGTTGTGTCTACCTATGCCTCCATCTTGCCAGAAGTCTTTTATTTTTTCTACTACCATTTATCCCCCTCATACCCTCTTCCACCTCCACCCACCCTCCCTGCCCCACAACCACGCCGCTGCTGTCTGTGTCCGTGACCTCTTTCTCACTGTGTACTCACCTCAACCCCTCTATCCTCCCGGAGCATCCCCTCACCAGAGCTGTCAGCCTGCTCTCTGTCTATGAGCCTGTTTCTGTGTTGCTTGTGAGGTCAGTTTGTTCATTAGATTCCACATATGAGTGAAATCATATGGTATTTGTCTTTCTCTGACTGGTTTATTTCACTTAGCATACTATTCTCCAGATCTATCCATGTTGTCACAAAGGGTAAAATTTTCTTCTTCTTTTTTATGGCTGAGTACTATTCCATTGTATAAATGTTCTGTGGTTGTTTTATCCAGTCATCTGCTGATGGACATTTGGACTGCTTCCATATCTTGGCTATTGTAAATAATGCTGCAATGAACATCAGGGTGCATATATTCTTTTGGACTAGTGTTTCAGGTTTCTTCAGATAAATTTCCCAAAGTGGAATCACTAGGTCATAAGGCAATTCCATTTTTAATTTTTTGAGGTAACTCCATACTGCTTTCCATAGCGGTTGCACTAATCTGCATTCCCACCAACAATATATGAAGATTCCCCTTTCTCCACATCCTCACCAACACTTGTTTGCTGTTTATTGATGATAGCCATTCTGACAGTTATGAGATGATATTTCACTGTGGTTTTAATTTGCATTTCTCTGATGATTAGTGATATTGGGCATCTTTTCATATGTCTATTGGCCACCTATATGTCCTCTTTGGAGAAGTGTCTATTCAGGTCCTTTGCCCATTTTTAATTGGATTGCTTGCTTTTGGGGGGTTGTTGTATTCTCATTTTCATCTGTTTCAATGTATTTTTTTATTTCTTCCTTGATCTCATTGTTAACCCATTCTTTATTTAGTAGCATGTTATTTAGCCTCCCTGTCTTTGTGTGTTTTACAGTTGTCTTCTGACTGACTTCTCGTTTTATTGCATTGTGGTCAGAGAAGGTCCTTAATATGATTTCAATCTTAAATTTATTGAGTCTTGTTTTGTGTCCTAACATGTGGTCTATCCTAGAAAATGTTCCATGTGCCCTTGAAAAGAATGGATATTATGCTGCTTTGGGATGAAATGCTCTAAATATCAATTAAATACATTTCTTCTAGTGTATTATTTAAAACTGCCATCTCCTTGTTGATTTTCTAAATACATTTCTTCTAGTGTATTATTTAAAACTGCCATCTCCTTGTTGATTTTCTGTCTGCAAGATCTATCCATTGATGTGAATGGGGTGTTAAAATACTAGGACTCTAATACTGTTAAACCCTCCTTTTATATCCATCAAGATTTGCCTTACATATTTAGGTGCTTCTATGTTAGATGCACAAATGTTTGTAAGGATTATATCCTCTTATAGAATTACTCCCTTTATCATTATGTAGTGTCTTTCTTTGCCTCTTACTATTCCCTTGGTTTTAAAGTCTATTTTATCAGTTGTAAGTATTGCCACCCCAGCTTTTTCTTCCTTTCCATTTGCATGAAATGTCTTTTTCCATTTCTTTACTTTTAGTCTGTGTGTATCTTTTGTTCTGAGGTGAGTCTCTTGGAGGCAGCATATATGTGGGTTTTATTTTCTTATCCATTCAGCTACCTTATGTCTTTTGATTGAAGCATTTAAGCCATTTATACTTAAGTGATTATTGATGGGTACATATTTATTGCCATTTTATTTTTTAAACTAAGTTCTTCTGTTTGTTTCCCCTCGTCCTCCTTGTCCTCCTCCTTCTTCAAGCAGGCCCTTTAATATTTCTTGTAATACTGGTTTGGTGGTAACAAACTCCTTTAGCTTTTCCTTGTCTGGAAAGCTCTTTACTTCTCCTTCAATTTTAAATGCTAACCTTGTTTGGTAAAGTAGCCGTGGTTGTATGTCCTTTCTTTTCATACTTTAAGTATTTCATGCCAATCTCTTCTGGCCCAAAATGTTTCTGTTGAGAAATCAGCTGACAGTCTTATGGGAGCTCCCTTTTAGGTAACTGACTTCCTTTCTCTTATGGCTCTTACAATTCTCTCTTTATCTTTAATCTTTCCCATTTTTAATTATGATGTGTCCTGGTATGGGCCTCTTGGGTATATCTTGATCAGGACTCTCTGTGCTTCCCAGACATATATGTCTCTTTCCTTCACCACATTAGGAAATTTTTTGGTCATCATTTTTCAAATACATTCTTGATCTCTTGCTCTTTCTCTTTTCTTTCTGGTTCCCCTATGATGCCAAGGTTGTTATGCTTCACATTGTCCCAAAGGTGCCTTAAACTATTCTTACTTTTTAAAAATTCATTTTTCTTTTTGCTGCTCTGATTGGGTGTTTTTTTCTACCTTGTCTCCCAAATCATTGATTCAATCTTCTGCTTCATTCAACATAATGTTTGTTCCTTTCAGTGTATTCTTTCCTTTGGATATTGCATTCTTCATTTCTGATTGGGTCTTTTTTTATGGTTTCCATGCCCTTTTTCATGCTGTTGAGTCTCTTTATAATCATTACTTTGAACTCTATTATCTGATAAATCTCTTGCCTCCATTTCACGACAGCTCTTCCTCTGGAAAATGTTCTTTCACTTGGGGCTTGCTTCTTTGCTACCTGTTTTGCTTGTCTCTTTGGTTTGTTCCTATGTATTAGGTAGATCTGCTATGACTCCCAGTCTTAGCAGGATGGCCTTAGGTAGTAGATATCATGTGAAACCCAGTGGCACAGTCTTCCTGATCACCTGTGCTGGGTGCTCCAGGAATGTCACTTGTGTGGGTTATGTCAGTGCTCCTGTTGTAATTGAGTCTTGATTGCTATTGTTCCATTCATTTGTGAGATTACCTCTCAGGCTGGCTGACTGTGAGGCTAAACCCCAACGTAGTATGCAGGTGCTGACCACACAAAGAGGTATTCACCTTGGCAGGGTTTAGTGCCTGTCAAGATCTGCCTGTGGATGTGCTACTTGTGAACACTACTGGATTCTGCTATGTTGTTTTGTGAAGATATACACTGAATGTATTGGTTCTGGGCATCTCCAGAGGGACTCTCGCTCAGATCTTCATCCGAGGCTGCCTGTGACTGGTCCTAGGCAACATATTTTGAGCTATCAGAGATCCACAGCTCATGGCTCCCTCTGTTGGGCCTCTGCTTGTGAAAATGACCAAGCTATGCACCAAGGCCTGCTTTTACCAGCACTGAGCCAGGAGGCAGGTCAGCAGAAGCCTCTAAGCTGCCAGAGATCACCTCCATCTGCAGGCTGCCTATCAGGCTTAGCATTGAAAGAGCCTCTAGCTGTACTCTTTACCATGGCAAAAGCTGCACAGGGTGGGGCAAAGGAAACTCCTGTGGGTGGGGCTATTGCTGCCCTTCAGGCTGAGGTCACCTGGAAGGCAGTGCTCTGCCCGAGAAAGATGCCTGTGCTGTATGGGCAATGACTGAGCATAGGGATCCTGGCAGCTGGCCATTCAGCTCTCTCCCCAGAGTCACCAACTCCAGACTCATAGGTCTCTAGTTCAATCTGCACTCTCTCCATCAGATCCCAGGGTGAGTGGCTGCAAATGAAATTTTGTATGTTGACCCTTTAAGAGGGTGGTGTGTCTCTAGCTGTCTCTTTCTGGTGGACAGAAACCCCACTGCTTTTCACAGGCAGTGTTATGTGGTTGCCTTTTCTGGTCCTGGTGCTCTAAGCTGGGGAGCCCAGCTTGGAGTTTAGACCCCACACATCTCATGGAGAACCCCCCATAGCTGAGATATTCTTCCAGGACCTCAGCTGCTGCCCATGGAGCCCAGCCAGTCTCCTCGTGCCACCTCACTTTCTGTCAGTCTTGAAGTGGCTTCTTCTGTAAGTGCTTGCTTATAAGGCTTCTCTCCAGCTAGTCTTCAGTTGGTTATTCAGAATTATTTTTCTATAATTTAGTTGTAATTCCAGTTTGGTCCTAGGAAGAGAGTAGTGTAACTCCCACCTAATTTGCTGCCATCTTGGATCCCAAGCCTGAATTTTTCAATGGGTGTGAAACTGGGGATGCACAATCAATGACCTAATGTTGGAGTGAGCGTGTATAGGGCAGCAGAAAGGGGGCTATAAACAACCATAAGTACTAAGTACAGGCCTGAACAAGGTGCTTTGGGAGCAATTACAATACTCTGGTAAATAAATAAGTAAACTTGTGAACAGGAGTTGGTTTTGGTCTGTATTGTTCCTCCTCTGTTCTTCATCCAGGATACCAACATTTCCTTGAAATAGTTATTTTCTCCCCAAATAGTTGTTTACTGAGTGATAAAATTAACACCCTCTCTTTATTACTGTCATCATTATGCCCATTCTAGGGGGGAAAAACCCCTAAGAAACAACAGATAGAAACACCGCAGAAGAAGAATGTGGCAGTTTGGACAAAACCACACAGATATAAATCAAGTGGGCAAGCCCCAACGTGGCAAGCTTTGCCTGACACATCACTTTCAATCTGTAGCAAAAGATTCCGAGAAGAAAAAGGTACATGACTATCTCAGAGCTAGAGATCCACAGCAATTCCAAGTGCCTGTGCCACCCTGAGACCATGAGAAGGGACACACAGCTGCTGATATCCCACCCTGAGCCAGTGCAGTCAGCTGCAGCTTCATCCGCTCCATCAGAAAAACCTGGTCTGCGGGCGCTGTGCTTGCCACAGAGCCCACGCTGCTCTGGCAGAGAGGCCCGTGTATCATGTCCTTTCAGATTTCTGTGCCCCTATCTTCCCACTAAAAGCCAATTCTTGATGTCCTTCTTATGGACATGAGTTATTTTCCCCTTACGACTTCGACTCTATTCCACTTCTAAACCCTGCTATAGTGAATGAGCTCCACTCCTGTATCTTTTCCCCTGTCCTGATGGATTATAAGTGGCCATGTCACTATAAGAGCTACAGTCACTCTGTCTTTTGCTAGTCTCTCCAGAAAAAAATTGTTAATGTACACAGCACACACACACACACACACACACACACACACATTTAGAAAGCAAGATGGCCCTTGAGAAATGTAGTGCATACTAGTTGAGGAACTAGATTAATAATTCAAAGCTTAACAATAATACATTCACTATGCATTCACTTAAAAACTCTCTATTGAGTAATTGTGATATGCTGGCACTGTTCTGAGTACGTTTGTTAAACTCAGAGGCTCCCTTAGCGTAGTAGTCTAGACATGGGAAACGTTTCTGCCATCATGAAGGCTGGGCTTATAGAACATTACAAATTGATTAAGTCATCTCTTCCACGAATAGTCTGTCAGAGCACAAAGACATTGGCCTTTTGCTCCTAAAAGAATTCAAGGTTTCTATGCTTTTGGCATTCACCACCAGAAGATTCTCAGTAGCTGAAAGAGACTTTGGAGATCCAGCTTCCCACCCAGTGAAACACCCTTAACAGCTGTCACCCTTCCCCAAACTCTCCCAGTGGCAGAGAAGGACCTGGTTCTCTTGGTGGACACTGAGCTGACACCTGCGTTTCTGAAACCTTCACTGTTTGGTTACGTGTCCGCCCTTTGAGCAACACGGAACATTAGAGGCCTTCAAGTACCAAAATACAACTATTGACCTCCATTTGCTCTTCAGCCCAAAATTCCTTGGAGAAAGGGTGTGCACTAACCAGCAGCATATGAGAATGCCCGTTTCCCCTCCTTACAGATCAGGAAGCTAAAAAAAATTGCTACTAAAAACTCATTCACAAGGGGAAACACGATTGCTTATGAATTAAGACTGTGGGCCCTGGTGGTGGATGGTCCAGGTTCAGTTCTTAGCTTTGTTGATCACAGACTATATGGCCAGAGGCAGTGATTTAACCTTCCTACACCTCAGGGTTCTCATTTGTTAAGTGGGCTAACAACAGCAGCCATCTCCTGTGGTTGTTGTGAGATTAAATGAGTGATGCACAGAAACCCCTCGTCAAATGCCTGATCCAGGCAGAGTACCCAACTAGTGGTAGCTATTGTCACAGCACTTTCTACTTTGTAGAACCCTTCTGTATGCACTATTTTATTTGATTCCCACAACAACTTTACCTATTGGTACTATTAAACCAGTTGTCTGGGGCAGGAAAGTGAGACTCCAGGGGCTAAGTGCCTTTCTTGAGATCACGTGGACAGCAGCTTGACTTAGACGAGAAGTTCTGTTTCCTGAGTCCCAGCCCAGTGCTCTTTTCATTGAGCAAATAAGACCAAAAGTGAACCACTGGCAAAATATGATTCTATGTAGAGCTTGGTCTCTGAGGTAGAATCTCCCTGGGGGCTCTAGGTGATAGAGCCTGACAAGAACATTTGGCCAGAGCAGTATTTCAAAATTCACATCTATGAATTCTGCAAATACTATCGAGAAAAGCTAAACTGCTGTAGAAAATAAAAGATGATAGGCCAGCCTCACTGGCTAACAAATACAAGTCTTTGCACAGCAGTAGCCAATTCCCTCAAGGATTATCAAAGATTATATAACTGTGGTAATAAGATAAGAATTTATGACCTGTTTGTCTTCCCCAACACCATGAATCATATAGGATTATATGCAGAGTCTGTGGCCTGGATTGAAGATTTCTAAGGTGTCTCCCCACATGGAGAACTATTAAAAGCCTTGTATGACTGTAGGAGAGCAATTCTTCTAGGAAAAGATGTTTAGTTAGCAATTCCCTGACCATTTCCTCATACTTGGACAATTTTTACTTGTTGTATCTATTTTTCCCCACAAGAATTCGGTCCTTTTCTCATTCAAAAATTTAAATGTCTTTGCAATAATGACATAAGCATTTACAAAATATTCCTAAACTCTAAAACTAGATTTCACTTTGGAAGTCTGATGAGTGCAAAATTTCGAAGTAATGTAAAACATTAATAATACTGTAAAAATAATTCAATAAAGACATTAACCAGATTGAACTATCTTGAATTCTAGCACCTGATTAAAAAAAACAACAACCCTACGCTGGGGCTGTGTGTGGAAAGGCCACACAGGGCCATGGAAGGGACCTTCTAGCTCTTGAGGGTTGGAAGCTCTGTTTTCCCACTATGTCAGATACCGCAAAACCCAGGTATTTTTATTTGCTTGCTTTCACTTTATCACAGGTACTGCTCTTAAACTTAGCATCCATAATTTGGGTTTAAAATTTTAAAAATTTGCTTAAAAATTTGGAAGTTGTTTGACCTGTTGTTGTCTCAGGCTCACAAAAAGTGAAACAGAGACGAGAATGGAAAGGAGGGCTAGGTGGGAGAGAGAAGAGATGGGAACGGTTGGTCACATAGAGGGCACCAGGACCGCCTGGCCTGCGCGGTCCTCCTACAGGGAGGAGAGCCCTGGAGGGGGAACGGTGCTTACTTACGATATCTCCCTGTGCCAGCTCCCAGAGAGACCACCGGCCCCAACAGCCTGTTTATTGCCCACAACAGGGGTGGAGAAGCCGTGAGAGGGGAGAGAGCTGTGCGGTGAAGGGAAAGTAGTCAAGAGGTATGTTACTAGTCAGAGGTAAGGCAGGAAATTCACAAATTGGGTGCTAAACATCAGAGAGGCAGTAGATGTAACATTTTCCAACTACCCTCTATGCTGTGCAAAATAACGTGGGCGTAAATACATGCTCAGGGATTTTGGGGTTAACATCAGTACTCCTCTTGAGAGTATTAATACAAGGAGCGAGGAATGTAAGTGTGACTCTGGCTCTAAAACAGTGAGGTTAGTCATTCAGAGTCATTCGGGACCACCTGCTTTGGGTTGCCTGGGGCGGTGGGGAGGAGGGCAGTCTTGCATTTCTCTGGGCTTTGCAGGAAGCCAGGCTTGTAAGTGGCTCCTCCCACCAGTGGGAGCTCAAACTGGATGCATCTCACACTTGATGTGAAGGACCACAAAGGACTCCTGCTTTGCATTCAAAAGGCAGATGTGGTTTTCAGACCATTGGTATTTCTATTAGCCCTTGTCACTTACACAGAAAATTAAGGGCTGACTGAATCACACGGTTATTTTCATTTACCAGGAACACAGACTTACTCTCTGGAGGAAGCAACGTGCCAGAAGTTCAGGATTTTCAGTGCACTTTTCCAATTCTTTCAGAAAAGTCCTAGGGAAAGAATGGTATAGTAATGCTTGTTAATCATTTTTACATGTTAAATACTAAAAAAATAAAATCAGCCCTGACTGGTGTGGCTCAGTTGGTTGGGTGTCATCCTGCAAAATGAAAGGTTGCCGGTTTGATTCCCGGTCAGGGCACATGCCTGGGTTGTGGGTTCCATCCCTGGTCAGAGCATGATGTTTCTCTCCCTTTTTCTCTCTGCCTTCCTCTCTTTCTAAAAATAAATAAGTACAATCTTAAAAAAATAAAGTAAAATCAAATAAGGTGTTAAGAGGTGCCTAAAACAATGTTGTTTTTCAGGCTTTATTGCTCTTGACTCATCTTCAACATGCTGATTTGGAAGAAAAGTATTCCGGGACACTACTAGGATTCCCAGAAACCATCTACAGCTGTTCTGACAATTCTAGGCACTAGCCTTTGACAGGCTAGAGACACTGATGCTTCCTGCTACCTGATAACAATGTTAATAAGAACTGCCATTGCTGTTGCTATGACTATCCCTGAGAGCTTATGATAAGCCAGGCCTAAGCTAAGTGATTCACAAACAGTATCTCATTTAGTCCTCCACTGAACCTTGCAAGATAAGGTGTCATCAACCTGAAGTTCAAAGCAGCTGCAAAATTTCTCCATGGAAAGATGCAGAAATAAGATTTCCATTTCAGTTTTGACAACAGGTCAAGAGACATGAGATGTGGTTAGGAATCAGCCTAGGTTCTTCTCCTTTCTGCCAATTAGATGTGTGCCTTGGGGGTCGTTCTAGTGAGTGAAGTGACAGAACAAGCTGAGGTTTTCTCATCGGTGAAATGAGAGGGTTGGAAGATGATTTCCAAAGTCCCTTCCTCCCTCATGTCTTTAAAACTCAACATCCAAGCCACCCTGGGCTACAAGGACAACTTGTTTGACTAGTTAGCATTTTTTACGCCCTAGCTCCCAGCACTACCCTATGATAGTAGGTATGTGAAGGAGTGTCTTGGTCATCGTTGTGTCCCCCACGCTGAGCAAAGTGCCTGACCCTGACCAGGTGCTCAGTAAATTCGGGTGCATAAACAGATGGACAAGCAAAAGAACACACAAGCGAACACCGCATCGGTGCCCCACACGCTGCCAACGTTCCACAAGTGTCTCCCCCATCTTCCCCAAGCGTCTGGGGCACTGCTCCCTCCTTTGTGTCCCATCCCATCCTCTGGCTCTGGGCTAGTTGCTGAAGCCTAAAAATAACTAAGCGCTCTCATCACCAAATTCCATCAGTCTGACTTCCAGCCTTCTCTTACTTTCCATTTTTCCTGATGATGTGAAATATTATATACCTGTTGTGAAATTCGTAAAGTTCTCTAATATTCCCAAAGAGAAAATCCTTGTTATTCTGCAGAATGTCTGGAATCAGATGCTTCAGCCAAATAAAATCCATTGGAGTGATATAACCCTGCAGAGATAGAAACAGGCTTTACAGATAGAAACATATAAGAGATTATCTGAATTAGCCATTCCAGGGAATAAAACTTTAATAAGATAATCAGAGAATATGGTACACCTATTTCCTGAGAGCCATTTCATCAAATTCTTTTGCTATTATTTTCCTCATCTGTCCATCTTCAGAAGAAGAGGGTTTATTAATAATGATAATAAAATGGCATTTTTATAGGAAGAACAAACATATTTTTAAATGATTATGTTATAAAGTCAAGTGTGCAAGGAAAAAACTTACCCATCATTCATGACATATTGCAATTACTATTGTCCTGTTATATTTCCTTCATGACTTTTAGAGAGCTTATTTTATATGGTTATAATCACAGCACATAAATAATTTGTATTCTGTTTTGACATATATATTTTAGAGTCTGCTTGTAAATTTCTACATATGTTGTTTTTAATTTAATCTTATAAACATTTTCCAATATACCTACAAAGTATTCAAAATAATTATTTTGTAACACTTGAATAATATTTCATTTAGTATGTATATCAGACTTTATTAACCATTCCCCTCTGAATAGGATATTTAGTTTTCTGATATTTTGTGGTAAAAAATTCTATTATAATTTTGTACATATAATTTATTTTTCAAAATTATGCCCTTAGGAAAATACATTTTCACTGTTAAGCAAAAAGTGCTACTTAAAACAATGAGAAACAATTCTCCCTCATTAAATTATCAAAAACATTTCAATGATCACATCCATTGCTAGTAAGCATATGGTGCACCCAGAGAGCATTACTGAAATCAGTACAAACTGGTGCAACCCTTTGAAGTTATTGAGGTGCATGGATCAACAGTCATAAGAATATTCTTATTCCTACTGGAAAGCCATGTGTGATATTTTAAGACCCAAAACCTGTGGTGGCGGGGAATCTAGAGACATATGGTAACTATTTTGATTCTTTTTGTGCAACAAAATTTCTTTAGTTTGAGTACATGCTTAACTGCCCCCAATCTACTTACATCAATTATGCTCTTCATCTCTTTTATATAAGCCTCTTCAGTCTCAAGCAAGTCACGTATAATGTGCCTGAAATCACAGTGGCAGGTGGGAAGATGCAAGAGAGAGAGAGACAGAGGGAGGGCAGAGCAATTTTTTAGAATTCTTTTAGGATAAGTTAATGCTCATCAACAGTTCCTCTTAGTGGCTTGTTTACTTAGGCAGTGGTCAATTCATTCTGTTCCATTGAACACCCAAGACCAGCACCCTGTGGCTCCCAAAACCACACTCTGATAGCACTGATGTTAGAAAAAAATGGCAAGGACTCAAAATTCATGTGTAGCCAGTGAATGACCTGTCCTCTGGTGGGCCACAGAGTGGGGGTCAAGGGGGCAACAGGTGGAGCTGGAAATACTTAGTGTGGATCCTTGGTCAGGAAGGTCTGCCTGACCCCTACATTGTGTGCCTGGTTTCCTAGATCTTCCTTCTAGCTTTTTCTGCTGTTTAATTGTCCACATGGATCTTTGACCCACATGCATGGACGTCCTTTGTTGTGCACAGAGTCAGATGGATGCCAGTCACGGCCCCTTCTTCTGGAATTTAATGTTTCAGTGCAGTTGAGTGAGTTCCTCGGCCAAATGACTTGAGCTCTGTCCACTTCCCTGGAGGAAAGCAGGTATGGAGTGAGGTGGGCACAATTCTAAGAGGGCCTGCAATACTCCTGGCCCCTGTCGTGCACCTACCTCCTCCCAGTGAATCAATCAAACACTAATTTAGCTGCTACTGTGAAGGGAGTTTTGCCATTCTGATTTGTTCCAAACCACTTGACCTTAAGAGAGATAGATTACCCAGTTGGGCCTGACCCAATCGTATGAACTTTTGAGATCTGGGTCTAGAAGTCAGAGAGACTGGAAGCATGAGAAGGGTTTAACACAAGGGAGATTCTCCTTTGCTGGTGTTGGAGGGGAACATGTGGCAAGGAGCACAGGCAGCCTCTGGGAGCTGAGAGTGGCCTCCAGCTGATTGACAGCCAGCAAGGAAATAGCGACGTTAGTCCTATGGTTGCGAGGAACTGAATTCTGCCACATCCGAGTGGACTTAGGATACCAACTGCAGCGAGCCAGTACTGTGACTTTAGCCCATAGGACCTGAGCACAAAGCCAGTCATGCCATCTCCAGACTCCTGTCCCAGGGAAATTGAGCTGAGCTGCTAAGCGTGCGATCATTTTTTTAAAGTTTTGTTTTTTATTATTTTTTTAATATTTTTAAAAGATTGTATTTATTTAATTTTAGGCAGAGGGGAATGGAGGGAGAAAGAGAAGGAGAGAAACATCAATGTGTGGTTGCCTCTTGAGTGCCCCTGGTGCCCCTGGGGACCTGGTCCACAACCCAGAAATGTGCCCTGACTGGGAATTGAACCGGCAACCCTTTGGTTCACAGGCCAGCACTCAATCCACTAAGCCACACCAGCCAGGACCCGATCCTTTTTTATGCAGCAATAGAAAACTAGTAGAGTGAGGCTAGCTTCCCACACCTGTCTCTAGACAAACTGTTTTGTTTTTCTTCTCAGGCTGTGTGGCCATACTTTCTTTTTCAGGCTTTCTTTTAGGCCTTCCCGTGAGTTTGTGTTTGCACAAGTGTTTGTGTGTAGAACACATACACGTAGGTTTCCTGTGAACCGTTGCTTTGTTCTCTGTTACATGGTAGCCTATCCCAGTGAATGGCTTTTTCCCTTTCATAATGTGGACCCGGCAAGAGACAAAGAACACAATATAGAAAATTCATACAAAATATAAATAGCTATTAGTCTTATGAAAAAAAAAGCTTAATACACACTAATCCAATAAAGACATAGTAAAAAGAAGTAACAATTTTCAACCAGTAAAATAGTAGAAATTTCAGGTCTCAAAGGGAGACTGACAGATGAGGATGTGGAAACACTCCCAGACAAAATTGGCAGAAGCGCAAATGTGTGCGAGATAACCTAAAAACAGCTCACCAAATTTAAAACGCAATTCCTTGACTTGGTTGTTCCACTTCTAAGAATGTGCATTGTTTGCTATTAGAACAATAGCACTGCAACAACACCCAGATTAAACTGGAAATTCCTTAAATTCTCATCAGTAAATTATGGTACATACATAGGATGAAACGCCAGGCAGCTTTTAAAAGAATGAAGCTGTTGAGTCGTAGTCACTGGTATGACATGGTCACTTTTAGTGACTTGAAAGAAAACAAGATGCAGAAAAGTGAGCATAGCATGATCATTTGTATAAAAATGAGTGTGTACACATACCCATATATAATACTACATGCTTAGAAAATTCCTCCAAAGAAACTTAAGACATTGTTAACAGTGGCTGCTTTCAGAGAGTGGTACTGAAAGCTAGGAAACAGGGAAGAATTTCTATATTCCACTCTATACCTTTCTACAATATATGATTAAAAACACTTCAAACATTTGCCACTTTTATAACCTAATAAATGGCTTACATGACACTTTAAAACTAATGCTTTGGAGCTAATGGTATATAAATCCCATTTGAAAGATGTAAATAAAGTCTACATTTTATATATTTATAGCTCTTTTTAAAAATGGCAATCTTTGTATCTATTTATACAAGCTTGTTATAAGACAAGACTGATGAAGGTTAGCCACTGACAGAGGATACAACTTCAAGAAGGATAAAGACTACGGAAAAGTTACCTGAAGATCATACTTAGCAGAGTCACTGAGCAAGAGGTTTCTTTGCTTTTTATAAGTCACCCTGAAATGATGGTCAGAAGGAAACAGAGGCCTGGATACCAACCTATTTCTATGCACCGTGACACCAGGCAGGACCACGGCAACAGTTAGGCACCCACAGAAAACCAAAGTGCAGCCAGCCTGGCGGGCCCTCCTGCAGCGCTGGGCTTCAGTGACCGGGCAAGTCTGTTCAAGGATGAACTGATGACTAGATGAAGTCCAAAGGCAGACCTCGCTGGGTGTAAGCAGAAATCCATTTTATTGCCCAACAGTTATGTAAGAACTTAGAGACTCTTATGAGTTTTAAAGAATCTGACACAAGAAAATATTCACAACTCAGGAGGAAAAAAAAATCCCTTGTCAGGTTATATCTCCATTTATAGTTTGGAAATGGCCTATGGATCACATCCAGCTGCCTCATTTTACTTGTCTGAGTGCAACAGATAAAACTCCAACAACAAGAAGTCCCCTGAGCATTGGTTGCCTACATTTCAGTTCAGAAAAAAAAAAAATCCTCGTGTCACTATCAAGCCATTCTTTTTCCTCCCTTCTTTGCTTTCCTTTCAAATAACTATTAAGTGGGAGAAATTTTATAATTCTACCTGAGGCTTGTCTGCTTTATTATCCAAAGCACATATCTTTGTTCGTAGAAAAAGACGCTCAAGAATTTAACACCTAAATTCACCAAGTATACATAATGTAGACAGAGAACAGAAAACGCTGTGTGTTCTCAAGTAATTTAAAAACCTTTAAACAGTGGAGGACTTTATGCCCTGATGGATAGCTACCCAGCGGCGGAGCACTGTCATGAGGACACCAAATGGCATTGACAAGCCAGAGCAGCCTGCAGCCTGCACTGACGCACTCTACATGCCTGCATATTCTGGCACTTTGCTTGTTATGTTTAAAAGGGGACCTCCTCCCACTTGCCACCCCAGGTCATTAAGGAAGAAATGGAAGCATGATGTGTTTTAAGGGACTGTTCCTTTTTCTGAAGCCATATTTTAAGGTAGTGCTTTGGCCAAAAAGTTCATTTCTTTTTTTCCTTAAGAGGGCTCTATTAATGCCTAGTTGTCTTTAACTTCATTTGAAACAATTTTGTGAGATCGTATTGTGACAGCTGTTGTATCAGCATGCATTTCAAAAAAACTTATCAAAATTGGTGAATTCTTGTGTAGCCATTTTAATACTGAAGATTGAAAAAGATATTTGAAGATGGAATGAAACATTTTCAGCATATTATGCTTTATTATTTCAAGAAAGGTGAAAATACAAAAAAAAAGATTTGTGCAGTGTATGGACAAGGTGCTGTGACTGATCGAATGTGTCAAAAGTGGTTCGTGAGTTTTGTTGCTGGAGATTTCTCACTGGACGATGCTCCGTGGTCCAGTAGCCCAGCTGAAGTTGATAGCGATTAAATCGAGACATTGAGAGCAATCGATGTTATCCCACACAGGAGATAGCCAACATACTCAGATTATCCAAATCAATCAAGTTAGTGGTGAAAATAAAAAATGTATCTTTTGTTTCACAGAAAAAACCACACAGACTTTTTTGACCAGCCCAAAACAGAGTAAAAACAGAGTGCTGGATACGTGGCTCCATTCCATATGGCACCTCCTGTTGGTCTCAGATGATGCCATAGCCAAGGGGGCAGGAATGGAACCTTTTAAAATAATGAATGCAATCTTACTGGGTAAGCAAGTTCATTAAGGTACGTACGTGTTAGGATTTCCTGATAAGTTTCTCTTTGTCCAAGCATCCTAATCTGTCCTCCCTTTGAAACTTTGCCCCTTATCTCCCCTCCTCAATTTCCCAGCTCTCCAAAAGAAGAGTGTCCTTCTGGGAACCAGTTTTCAGAAGTATATTTTTGCTCATTAATTGTCAACACAATTTGTCATCAAGAGTTTTAATTTACTCTTGGTATGATAGATCGCATCAGAAAGTATTACAGATGTTCACTTTTTAAAAATTAGTGGTTGTCTAATACCATCTTTGCCAAATTGAAAGGTCTGTTCTTATCCTTCTCAAATTCTAGCACCTCAGACATCATGGCTATTCACTTTCTTAAACCTTTCTCTTCCTTTGGGTTCATCTTTATCCAATCTTTATTCATTTTTATTATTATTATTCAATCTGTATTCATCTTTCTGCTTCTCTGTTTCTTCCTTGCTTCATCTTCCTCCTCCTGTCTAATGTCACTGCTCCCCAAAAGTCTGAACTCAGGTTTCCAGGCTTCCTTCCTTCCTCTTCCATCATGCTGTTGACTTTCTCATATCTTCATCTTCGTCCCAGACCTTTGGTCACGCTCAAGTCCTTGTTGCCAATCCACATCTTCACCTGG